AAAAATTCAAATTAATAGTTGCAAATCAGAGAATCCAACTAGGCAAGCCTCACTGTGTACTAAGCAAACCCCTTCCTTTGGGTTTCCCCATCCTGAAGCTGTCTAGTTATAATATTGGAAACTTTGAATGATCCAGGCCTTCCAGCCTTTCTAGTCATAGTGCAAGTCACACTCTGTTGACCTAGCTGTCACCCACCTAGGATCTACCGTCTAAAAAAAGGAATTCAATTAGGAGGAAACCCTGGACCTGACGAACTCAAATCCTCCTTCTGTTGTCCTTCTAGATTAAGTGTGTTACACTCAGCTCCTTCAATCTCCTGAAATGCTGAGAACACTGTTTTTTTTCACCTTGCCTTGAGGAACACATAAGTGAATTTGCATTTTCTAAATCTGAATTGAACATTTCCCTCATTTTAGCCGTAATAGTTGGGGCTGGTCTGCTGCACTCAACCTGAAAATGACAGGTTGAATCTCTACAATCTCAGGAGACAAGCCCAGGTCTTTCCTAGAACATCTCTCATTTGTAATGCCAACGAGAGCTCACAACCACACTGCCCAGACTGGAAGTGGGAAGGATGGAAGCTGCTCCACCTCTGAGTGCCCATGTCACCTGCCAGGATGCACAGGGTGTTTTAAGCTTAGAGATGAGAGAACAGGAAACTTACTGGGCTAGAAAACAGGACCAGGGATAAACTTGATCCAAGGCAGTCACTGACATAACCGTCCAAGCCTGAACTCTGGATAACTTGAGAGAAAGCGCCCATGAACTCTGAAACTTGTCCTTACTGGAACGCCTGCTTGCAGCCAGCACCCATTCCCGTCCAGCCCCAGCACCGCGCAGCAGAAGAGGAGGCTGATGCTCTTACTATTCCTGACTTCTTGTTGCATCGTTTGAAACCCTCAGGGGAATGTGGTCCTGGAAACGAGCTTTCTAACTTCTTTCAACCATGTTCTTCCCTGAGCTGAATTGGACAAAACATATCTCTGAGCTGACCTGGACAAAAAACAAAGGCATCCAGAGAAGCCCTAATACTCACATTTTGGATAATTTCAGAATTCTCACAGCCCTCAGAGAAACGCTCCACCCTTAGAGAAAATAATGCTAGCATCTGGGTGTCCTGGCTGCTCCGCTCTGCATGTTGAAGGGTGCACATAGCCAGAGAAAGGAAAATTGAGAGCTTGTTGACTTCCCAGCTAGTTGGGGGCTGAGCTCATAGGGCTTGACCTCAGATACATCACAAGAAGAATGGAGGTTTTCTTGCAATTCAGAAGTTTATTAGTGAATGGGTGTGGGCCAGTTGGTGTTTACATCTTGATCCCTACATCCCTGGTGTACTGGCCGTTGGGAGGTTGGTGTGGGGATTCATTTTTCTGCTGGTCAGTGGTGATGTTACCCCAGGAAGATGATGGGCCTCTCTCCTGGGTCCAAGGTGCCAGGGCTCTGAGCCAGTGCTATCAGAGAGACTCCACTTTTGTTTCCAGTGCCTGGGCTGGGGAAGTGAGGGTTTTTAGGATCTCAGTGTAGTAGGGGCCAAACACCTGCTGATTGTGATAAGTCAAGTTCACAAATTTTTGGCCCAGTTCCGCCAGCTCTGCCTCAATGAGAGTAAGGCCTCCAGGGAGGTCTAACAGAGACCTCTGCACACCAAGAACCAAACAGCATTTGAGAAACAAATGGATCCGCTGATCTGTGAGCAGGAAAAGACAGGAGAAGGGAAAGGGCAAACAGATTTCAGGGAGAAACGTTTCCCCTGGACTCCACTCACCACATTCTGAGTTAACTAAGATATTCACCAAGCTGTCCACTCACCTATAGATAAGGAGGCTACAATCTAGCTCTCAGGGACAAAGCAAAGATCAAAAACTAGTGGGTTAGTAAATTTCTTACTATTCAAAAGATTGTCTGCGTAGCCATCAGTTAGATCCTAGTGAGCATCTGACATCACAGGAAGATCTTAGAGTGCCTTGGTTCCTATAGCTGTGAAATAGCCATCAGTTAGATCCTAGTGAGCATCTGACATCACAGGAAGATCTTAGAGTGCTCCTTCAGATGGCCAAGCTCATGGCCTCCATTCCAACATAGGGGTGGGGGAGTTCCTACTATGGGAACATGTCTTCCAGCCTAATTCAGCATCAGTTTCTTGTTGGGGGTGGGGGACGTCAAATGTCTTAGACTGCAGTCAGAGAATGACCCACCAGTAGGCCAGGGTGACTTAATCAGGTTGGTTGGACAGTATCCTACACCTGGAAGCCATGAATTCTTGGTGCAAATCTTCCTCAGAATCACAGAGTCAGTGTTTATACTGAAATGGATATATTTTCAATCCAGCATTTTGAAAAAATTAAAGGCTAAACAGTGACTTACCCAATGACCATACCTTATGGTGCTAAATAGTTGGGTAACTCACTTCCGGGGTTAGGATTTACCTCTCTCCCCAGCACTCTCACCGCCTCATGAGCATGCTCACCAATGACACCGCGGACACAGTTCTCCTTCTTGGCAATGTTCTGGAGCTGTCCTGTCAAAGATGCTGCATTGTCACTGCTCAGAGCAGCAAGGCCCATATTCTTGAGGCTTTGATGGATTTCCTGAGATACCTGTTCACTCACAGTCAGCATAGCCTCCTCAGGCCTAGAGCATAAAAAAGAGTACTCTGGTACCCACCAGGTGGCCCAGGCAAGGAAGCTCCACACCAGAAGCGAGGCCCACTTGAAGGAGAATCCCAGCCATCCTCCCCTCCTCCAACACCCAGCCCCTGGGAGGCAGCAGGGCCCAGTGGGCAGGTACAATGTCTTCACCATAACCCTCAAGATACCAACTATTCTCTATGTTACCATATTCTATTCAGTAAACGAGATAAACTATAAAATCAACTCTGGGACAGCATTTAGTTCTGCCCTTGGATCTACTCAGCATTCTTTAGTCCCATGGACTTTTTAATTAATGAATTTATTTTGGGGATGGGGTCTCACTCTGTCACCCAGGCTGGAGTGCAGTGGTGCAATCATAGCCCACTGCAGCCTTGAACTCATGGGCTCAAGCAATCCTCTCCTCTCACCTTGGCCTCGGGACTACAGGTGTGAGCCGCCACGCCTGGCCCTTTATTTTTATGTATACATTTTTAAGACTTCCTCAGGCATTTTCCATGGTCACTCGTCCTAACTCAGCAATTATAATTACAAACCCAGCCTTCTGATTCCTCTTTTTCCTTTGGCGTGGTGGCCTACACACAGTGGATGTTCAATTATATTGCTGACTGACTGACCAACTCCTGGATATCCATAATAATACCAGCCCAAGGTCACCTACTCAAGTAGATGATGACTCCTCTGTAGCAAACTGCCCCCACACTACCCTTTCTGACAGAAAGTTTTATTTTTGTCATGAGCCTCAATACCACTTGTGGAAAGAAACTGACAATCTTTGTAGATGGTTCCAAAGGGCCCTCCTGTGGTTTGTGGTAGACAGCAAGCAATCATTCATTACCTGCCTATGTCCTAAACACCTCATATCATCTTGTACTCTAAAAAAGATCTATGCCGCTTACCTGGAGTTAAAGTCTTCCAACGGTGATTTGGTTATGCGTTTCAGTTTATCCACAAACTGGGGTGAGCCAAATAAAACACTGCCAGAGAAACTACCGGCCACTAGCAAGACTGAGGCCAGGACAGTTAACTGGTGCAACTGGGACTCCAGCTCCTGCAGCCGGGTTCTGTCCATCAGCAGGGTCTGGGGACCAGGGAAGAACAGGCTGTCGGAAAAGGAGGGTCCTGATGGAAGCCCTGCATACAAAAGAGGGCAATGCCCCCAGACATTCCTACCTCAGGGAACTCTTCATTTTCAGGGTCCCAGAGAAGGAGGTTCAGGAAGCCCTGGGACAGCACCATTGACGGGCTGAGGGGCTCTGGGTTGTTGGCTGCTTCATTTGGAGAGGGGCCGGCCACACTGGGGGAGTCAGGCATGTCAGGACAAGTTGGAGGTGGCGCGGTGAGGTCTGCTGCTGCTTTGGTCAGCCATTTGGTGGTGTGATTGAGAAGGCCTGCGACAGGGAAAGGAGTGTGTAAACATCTTCAGCATTTTTATCTCTGAGGCTTTAAGACCAAAGTTCTTTTCAAGACAGACTCCTGGTCAATAAATAAATGATTTAAGAGCCCTTCTGTCTTAAATAAACGGTCCGTCTCCCTCCCGTTACCTGAGGAAGAAACTGTATTCCTAAAAAGAGACGGAATCCTTTCTCACACCATAAAAGTCAGACCCAAGGTCATGTCTTCCCACCCCTGCCCTCACGCTATATACATACTAGGCTGCTCATTGAGCTGTTCCTGGAATTTGGCCCGTTCATACTGGATGGAATGTTCCTGCAGGTGGGGTTGAAGGCTCTGGATAGTGTAGTTCACCATGTCCATTTTCATGAGGCCCAGAACCTGGAAGATCCCTCTGACACAGGGGGGAAATAAAATATTTATACTACGAAAGGAAATCTAGTGAACTGGAAACCCAAACAAGGAGTCACTAAATCACTATATTCTAGAGTTAGGAGGGGCCTTAAAACTTAGTTCTACCTCCTACATTTACAGAAGGTGACATGTAGCCCAGGATCCAAGACCCAGTGGAGTTAGGTGAGTTAGTAGCAAAACTGGGAACACATAAGTCTCTGGACCTTAAAGCCTCTGGTCTAGATCTCTTTCACTATGGTCATTCTGTTGTTTCTTAAAAAGGGCAGTCAGTGGAAAGCAATAAATTAGCATATTAACAATTCTATTTGGAAAGTGGTATTATAGGTGACACTATTTCTAACTCATTGGGCCACTTTTTTTTTTTCTTTTTTAACTTTCTGATTCTTGGTTCCTATAGCTGTGAAATAGCGATAATCTCCCATCTCTGCCCCCTCACAGTGTGTGAACTGGGACAAGAGAAAACCTTGGAAAGGGATGTTTTAACTCCTTGAAGAAATAATTATGTATTCTAACGTCTTATTGTATTACACGGGGGGGCCAGACCAATCTAAGGATAACCAAAGGCCCTGTGAGACGATCTTTGGAAAAGAAAGGCCAACAGACCACAGAGGAGAGAAGGAGTGTGGTCAGGTCTTCAGTAGGGAAAAAACGGTAGAAACAATGGCTATACCCAGTGTCTGCCCCAGCTTTTCCTGGCCCAGGAGCTGTGGCAGGTTTCAGAGGGCAGGGATTAAGTCTCACACCTCAGTAACTGAGCAGGGTCTGTAACGTGTTCTAGTTTCTGCACTGCTTCGTCTCGAATTGGTGCACACAGCAAAGTCATCATGTTGAGAATGTACTTAGAGAGGTAAGGGACATCCAGAGCCCCATGTTCTGCTTTCTGCTTGAGGAAGTCCATGTCCAGAGCTTCTTCGATCTCAGTTCTTAGGCGGTTCTGGCGTGGTAACAGCAGTGACAGCAAGATCTGCCCAAGAGAGAAAGTCAAAGAAGGGGTTGCATTGTGTTTAGAGCCCCAAGCTCTCTCCAGTGGGAAGACCCTTTAGCTAAAGACATCCCAGCCTGTGTCTTTTAAGGATCAAGAAGTTGGGTCCCCAAGTTTCCTACAGAATATTATTTACCTTTGTTTAAGGGCCAATGATAATTTAAGGCTTAAGGGGATCAATTTCAGCACTAGTTCATCTAATAACCCACTTTACAGGATTTTGTTTCCCATCCTGCCAAGTCTGAGATTTGCTGATTTGTGTGAAGTACTTGCACTGGTTCCAGTGAATTAGAAGATGAAACCATTACCTGGCCATTTGAGGCTCCTACAACACTGCGCCAACAGGGTCAAAAAAGAGTTACTCTGCTGGCTGGAGTAACCAATCCTGGGTACCAAGCACAAGCTGGATTACCGCTACACAATGGGGGCAAGATAGACTATGCCTGGAACCCAGCAGATTCTCTGAGGTGCCACTTAGTACTTCCAAGCTCAATATTAAAGATTAATGGAAAATCCACAGCAAACAAACAAAAAGAACAAAACGTTTGAGGACTCAGACTCTTTGTCAATGAAGGTTTGGGTCACTCCAACAGATAAAGAACCCTAACCAGCTGAATTTCTGGCAAAGGACAAGGGAAATATGGAAGGAAGAATGGAAGAAGGAAGCCATAGATATCAACTATAACCTTTTGACCAATTACAGAAACAAGGACTATAAATTTTCCCTTTGCTTGTTATAGGTATGTTTATTTGTATATGCTAACGACTTTGTTCTTCCTCCTCCTTCCCATTTTTATTTTATATAGAGGTTGTTAGAATTTAACTTTACAATTTAGCCTTTAGGTAATAGCATATTCAACCAAGCTGTGACTGAATTTGAGAGGCAGCCAGCGATGGATACCATAACTATTTGGGCCATGTGTCGCCTCATTTTGGGAGAGGATGAAACCTGACAGACAGACAGCTATTTACTATTAGGTAGAAATAGAGTTCTTTTCAGGGATTCAAATGGTGCACATGGAAGCTGAGTAGCCAAAGGAATGACTCTGCCATTTATGAATATATTGCTTCACAGCTCCAAATCCATTGTTCTTTTCTCTGCTCCGTGAAAATGGAGCTAAGACCTTTCAATATCTTCTCAAGATGGCACTATATACATATATATATATATATCTATATTTTTTTTTTTTTTTTAATTAGAGAGGTTCTCACTCTGTTGCCCCAGCTTGGAGTGCAGTGGCACAATCATAGCTCACTGCAGCTTCAAACTCCTGGGCTCAAGCGATCTTCCCACCTTGGCTTCCTGAGCAGCTAGGACTACAGGCACCCACCATGACACCTGGATTTTTTTTTTTTTTTGGTGGAGATGAAGTCTCACTATGTTGCCCAGGCTGGTCTCAAACTCTTGGCCTCAGCAATCCTGCTTCAGCCTCCCAAAATGCCAGGATTACAGGCATGTACCACTGTGCCTGGCCCCGGATGGTACAAATTTTAAGTTTTACCTGTAGAGGGTGTTATTATTTAGTTTTCTGTGCTATGTAACATATTGTCATCAACTTAGGTTAAAACAACATATACATTATTATCTCACAGTTTCTGTGGCTCAGGAGTCCAGGAATAGTTTAGCTGGGTCCTCTGTTCAGGGTCTCCCAAAGCTGCAATCAAAGTGTTATCTGGGCTGCATTCTCATTTGGAAACTTGACTGGGGAAGAGTCTGTTTCCAAGCTCATTCAGATTCATTTCCTTACAGCTGGATGCCTGAGGGCCCCAACTGGCTGTTGGCTGGATGCTACCCCCAGGTTCTAGAGGCCTCCTGCAGTTCCTTGCTATGTAGCCCTCTCCATAGGCAGTTTACAACATGTTTGTTTGCTTCTTCAGGGCCAGCAGAAGAATCTCTCCTTCCAGTCTGTTAAGATGGAGTCTTATATGATGAAATGTAATCATGGAAGTGACATCCCATCACCTTTGCCATATTCTATTGGTTAGAAGTTGCAGATCTCACCTACACTGAAGGCGAGAAGATACAAGGGTGCAGATCATTGTGGGTCACCTTAAGCTGTGTCCACCACATACTACAAAGACATTGCAAAGGCAAGAGCTTCTCTTCTGGGTTCTGGTATGCACACTTGGCAGGCTCGCTTCTCCAGTGCTTGGCTCCTGCAGTGCCCAGTGATCAGCAACACACATAGGCCAGCAACTTCCCCTGGCACAGCCATGCCCTCTCAGATGAGGTCCTTGGGTGTTCTGTCTCAACCCTGGGGTATGGTGGATGCCCTTTAGATCTGATATTCCAGAATTCTTTAGAGTTCTCTTTACTTCTTACCAGCTATGCCCTCATTTCTCTAATTCCTTGTTATAATAATTTTTATATTAAACCATCCCTGTTCAAATTACTATGTGATTTCTGTCTACTGATTAGACTCTGACTGATTTATGAACCATGTTCAGTTTAAATTTGCTAGCCACTGACACTCCAATAAGCTGGTGATGTCTAAGAACTTTATTTCTACAAATAGAAGGTTAGTCACTCACCTCTTTAATTTCTTTCAGAAGTTCAAGAGCACAGCTGAAGTCAGGGGGAACTGCTGATAGTTGCTCTTTAAGATGGTCCCAAAAGGCATTGTGCATTGTCTCCTTGACCTTGCCTTCCAGACTGTAAGAGGGTTAAATGAGACCCAAAAACTGTTACGGGGTCGTAATCTCCTGAGCCCAAACAGCATTTGATATGGTAAAAGAGCATTACACTGACAGGGAAAGGCCAGGAACTATGTTTGAAATATAGCAGAGTCGAATAAGCTAGGATTAGACTTGGATTTCAAAACCATCAGCAAAACCTCTCAGAAGGGTTCCTTCTGATTCCAGAGCAGCCCTCCCTCTGCAGTAGGAAGAACCCTGAATGAAGAGAGGAGAGGCTGAATTTTAGCACTGATTGTATATGCAGCATAGATGTATGACTTAGTCTTCATTTATGTATACATATAGCATTGAACTAAACGATCGTGCATTTACTTATACTTCTAAAATCTAAGAAAGGATTTTCCTTCTTTGAAAACACCTGAATGTCCATAGATATTTCCGAATCAAGAGGCCTAAAATTGAATTTATCATCTTCTCCCTCCAAACCTGTTCCGCTTGTGTTCCCAGTCTCAGTGTACTACCATCTATCTAGTTACGGAAGCCAGAAGGATCAGTCTTTTTTTTTCACCTTAAAAAAAATACAAGAAGAAAAGGCAATGCAATTTAGAAAGGAGGATCTTTCAACAAACGGTGTTGGAACTACTAGGCATCCACATGAAAAAAAATTCATCTAAATATAGGTCTTGGCCGGGCACGGTGGCTCACGCCTGTAATCCTAGCTCTCTAGGAGGCCGAGGCGGGCGGATTGTTTGAGCTCAGGAGTTCGAAACCAGCCTGAGCAAGAGCAAGACCCCATCTCTACTAAAAATAGAAAGAAATTAATTGGACAACTAAAAATATATAGAAAATATTAGCCGGGCATGGTGGCGCATGCCTGTAGTCCCAGCTACTCGGGAGGCTGAGGCAGGAGGATCGCTTGAGCCCAGGAGTTTGAGGTTGCTGTGAGCTAGGCTGACGCCATGGCACTCTAGCCTGGGCAACACAGTGAGACTCTGTCCCAAAAAAAAAAATAATAATAATACAGGTCTTATATCCTTCACAAAAGTTAACTCAAAATGGATCACAAACCTAAATGTAAAACACAAAACTAAAAACATCCTATAAGAGGCTGAGTGTGGTGGCTCACACCTGTAATCCCAGCACTTTGGGAGGCCAAGACAGGAGGATTGCTTGAGGCTAAGAGTTCGAGGTTACAGTGAGCTATGATCGCAGCACTGCACTCCAGCCTGGGCAACAGAGCAAGACCCTGTCTCTAAAAAACTAAAAATAAAAAGAATAAAAATAAAAATCCTAGAGAAGATAACATAGGAGAAAATCTAGGTGACCCTGGGTTTGGAAATGACTTTTTGGATAAAACACCAAAACATGATCTGTGAAAGAAAAATTTGGTAAGCTGGACTTCATTAAAATAAAACATTCTGATCTGTGAAAGACAACATTAAGAGAAAAAAAAGATAATCCACAGATTGGGTGACAGTCTTTGAAAAACACATACATGATAAAGCATATGTATCCAAAATATACAAAGAACTCTTAAAACTCAACAATAAGAAAATGAAAAACCCAATCAAAATGGGCCAAAGACCTTAACAGACATCTCACCGAAGATGATATATAAGATGGCAAATAAGCATATGAAAAGATGCTCAACTTCATTTGTCACTAAGGAACTGCAAATTAAAACAGCAATTAAGATACCACTACACACCTATTAGCATTGCCCAAATCAGAACACTGACAACAACAAATGTTCGTGAGGATGTAGCGCAACAAGAACTCTCACTACAGCTGGCAGGAATGCAAAACGGTACAGCCACATCGGGGAAGACAGTTTGGCAATTTCTTATAAAGCTAAACATATTCTTACCACCCAACAAGTATACTCCTTGGTATTTATCCAAATGAGTTCAAAACTTATGTCCACACAAAAACTGCACACAAATGTTTACAGAAGCTTTATACATAATTACCAAATCTTGGAAGCAACCAAAGTGTCCTTCACTTAGTGAACGGATAAACAAACTGTCCATAGAATAAAATATTATTCAGTGATAAAAAAAAATGAGCCATCAAGCCATGAAAAAACATGGAGGAAACTTAAACGCATATCACTAAGTAAAACAAGCCAATCTGCAAAGGGTACGTACTATATGATTCCAACTACATGACATTATGGAAGAGACAAACCTATGGAAACAGTAAAAAGATCAGTGGTTGCCAAGGGTTTGAAGGTAAGAGGGAGGTATGAGTAGGTGGAGTACAGAGGATTTGTGGGGCAGTGAAATCACTTCGTATGACACAGTAATAGCAGATATATGTCATACATTATTCAAAATCCATAGGATATACAACACAAAAAGTGAACCCCAATGTAAACTATGGACTTGAGTTAATATTAATAATATCTACCAATTGTAACAAATGTACCATACTAATATACCATACTAACCCCCCGCCTTCGGGGGCCAGGCACAGTGGCAAGCACCTATCCCAGCTACTCAGGAGGCTGAGCTGTGAGGATCGCTTGAGTCCCAGAGTTCGAGGTTATAGTGAGCTGTTATCATGCCATTGCATACAAGCTGGGGCAACAGAGTGAGGCTCTTTCTCAAAAAAAATAAAGATAGAATAATAGGGGAAACTGCATGAGGCAGTAGAGGGGTTATGTGCGAACTCTAATTTCCAAACATTTTTCTTTAAACCTAAAACTACTCTAAAAAAATAAAGCCTATTAATTTTAAAAAATGAAATTACAGGAATTTTCTCCTGTGAATCTTTATTTAAATGATGTCTCTGACCTAGAGAGCTAGACCAGTAAGAAGAAAAAGAACCATTTGAAAATTCTGAGGCTTTATCTAGTCATTACCAAATAGCTATTGGTTTTCTTAAATTAAACATCCTTCCTCAAAAAAAAAAAAAACACCACACATAGTAGCAATGCATACTCCTTGTAAAAATAATATAAGCAATACAAAGGTAAATAAAACAAATAGCCAAACTTCCTCTCCCAACCCACAATCTCAATCATCAGAGGTAACTGACGATAATCTAATGGTCTAGTGTGTACTAGAATTGTTCTTAACTCCTGTCTCCTCATCTAATTTATCCAATTGATCATAAAGTTCCACAAATTCTGCTTCTTGAATGTCTGGAATCCATCCTCTTCTACCATCATTTTTTGCTATTAACTGGTCCCCCTGCCTCCAGTCTTGTCCCTTTTTAATCTGTTTTCCACATTGCCACAATTCATTCTAAAATCCACAATTTTTCGACAATGCAATTCTGATCATAATGTCAGGTTCATTTAGAGTCCTTTTGGGGGCCAGGTGCAGCAGTTCATGTCTGTAATCCCAGCACTTTGGGAGGCCAAGGCAGGAGGATCACTTGAGGCCAGCAGTTCAAGACCAGCCCGGGCAACACAGCAAGACCTCAACTCCACCAAAAAAAAAAAAAATTAGCTGGACATGGTGACATGTGTCTGTAGTTCCAGCTACTTGAGAGGCTGAGGCAACAGCCTGGGCAACAGAGGAAGACCGTCTCTTAAAAACATGTCCTTTGGGACTTTGAGGGTTCTCTATCACCAGCAGGGTAAATGGCTCATACAACCTTTCATGCCAGTGCTCTGCCTCTGTTTTCCAACGTATCTCCTCCTACCTTGTAACACCCTGTGCTCAGCCATACCAAGCTATTAGGTCGGTGCAAAAGTAACTGTGGTTTTAGCATTGTTGACATTTGCCATTTGCCATTGGAATATATTCTTAAATAAATGTGGGTATGTTCTACATCATTTTAATGTGCATTTTCTTGCTTTATTGCTTTTACTAATGACTTGTTACTTGCTGTTTATTTTATATTTATTTTAGACTATGGAAACGATGTTAGACAAAAAGCAAAATCAAGAGATGTTCGTATTCAAAATGGGTCATAAAGCAACGGAGACAACTCGCAACATCAACAGTGCATTTGGCCCAGGAACTGCTAAGGAACGTACAGCGCAGTGGGGGTTCAAGAAGTTTTGCAAAGGAGACGAGAGCCTTAAAGATGAGGAGCCCAGTGGCCAGCAGTCGGAAGTTGACAACGACCAACTGAGAGCAATCATCAAAGCTGATCCTCTTACAACTACATGAGAAGCTACCGAAGAATTCAACGTCGACCATTGAAAAGGTGAAAAAGCCCAAAACGTGGGTGCCTGATGAGCTGACAAAAAATCAAAAAAATCATCGTTTTGAAGTGTCGTCTCCTCTCTTGTACGCAACAACAACGAGCCATTTCTCAATTGGATTGTGACATGCAATGAAAAGTGGATTTTATACTACAACCAGCGATGACCAGCTCAGTGGCTGGACTGAGAAGCTTCAAAGCACTTCTCAAAGCCAAATTTGCACCAAAAAAAAGGTCACGGTTACTGTTTGGTGACCTGCTGCCAGTCTGATCCACTACAGCTTTCTGAATCCCTGCGAAACCATTACATCTGAGAAGTCTGCTCAGCAAACCGATGAGATGCACCGAAAACTGCAACCCCTGCAGATGGCATTGGCCAACAGAAAGGGCCCAATTCTTCTCCACGACAACTCCTGACCACACGTTGCACAACCAACGCTTCAAAAGTTGAACAAATTCGGCTACAAAGATTTGCCTCATCTGCCATATTCACCTGACCTCTCGCCAACCGACCACCACTTCTTCAAGCATCTCGACAACGTTTTGCAGGGAAAATCCTTCCACCAGCAGGATGTAGAAAATGCTTTCCAAGAGTTCGTTGAAGCACAGATTTTTACACTACAGGAATAAACAAACTTATTTCTCATTGGCAAACATGGGTTGACTGTAATGTTTCCTAAAGTGATTAATAAAGATGTGTTTGAGCCTAGTTATAATGATTTAAAATTCACGGTCTGAAACCACAGTTACTTTTGCACCAACCTAATACTTGTAAAGAATGTACCATGTTCTACCACCATTCTGTGCCTCTAACATGTTGCCTCCACTGCCTGGAGCATCCTTTCCCACTGATAGCACCTGGAAAGTACCTATTCATCATCTAAGATTCAACTCAAGTCCTCGTAGGCAGAATCTTCCACTGTAGGCAAATCTTCCCTGATCTTCCTTAGGCAGCCAGGCACTCTGTCAAACTCTCTCTATATGCACAGCTAGGAGTGAACTTATCAGTCTGATCAGTTGTTTTCTGCTATTCAACTGTCTCCCCTATAAAAGCTTCTTGACAGCAAAGCCAGTGCCTTATTTATCTATATCTATATCTATCCACAGCACCCAGCATTTTGCCTGCCACACAATAAGGACTCAATAAATGCTGGGTAAATGAATGCTTGAGCATGGGATTTCCCTCAGAAATCTACAATTATAATTAATTAACATCATTCTATGAGCCTAAAGCCAGCTCCCCAATAATGAGTAACCTCAAACTCTTTCAACCTTCTCCCAACATAAATTTTTGTATCACCGTACTGGGAACCCGGCTCTGAATAGCTCCATTTATCTCCCCTGCTTCATCTCTCCCTCTCTCATTTCCTCTACGTGAAATACCCCTCTGCACGCCCCCCAACCATCATCTATAACGACCTTCACTCTCCCAGTTTCATTTTTCTCTCCCCACCTGCCAGCAACAACATATCAACCAGCGAGAGAGATGCTAGATCTGAGTTGTGGCGAAAACCTGTTCCTGGAGAAGCTGTGCTTGGCATGGACACCTGCTAGCATCGAGCAAGAGCAAATGAAGGAGCATGAAGACCAGGGGAGCAACTTGGGACAGAGAAAAGGCACTTTCGTAACAGATTCCTTGAAGTGGCCAAATAACAAAACCATGTAAGGATGCAAACTAATCACAAGTTGCCATTATTTATCTGTCTATTGATGGGAAATTAGAATGGTTTTAAAATGTAAAACCTGACACAGAAATTTACCCACTTAGTTGCCAATAAACCAGCAGAGCCAATTCTGTTCATACTTACTGAATGGTTCTTATTTATTGCAATGCCAGTACAACCAAGAAGAATCAAAACAGAGCTTGATGGGGATAGGGAAGCATTATTTATCAACAGAGTTCAGATCCTGATAAATAAATTAAGCTGATTTATGAAGGTGGAAAAAACCCCAAGTTTTTTTCAATCCAAGAGTTGAAAACACCACTAACAGAAAATCTTTTTATCTGTGCCTATTTAATCTGAGGCTCCTTAAAAGAGTAACTGACAGGAGCTATGTGGTAGGCAGCTGTAAGATGGCCCCGAAGATCTCTGCTCCCAGCACAGTCGTCCCTTGGTATCCAAAGGGCATTAGTTCCAGGACCCCCCTTGTATACCTAAATCCACAGATGCTCAAGTCCCTGATCAAAAATAGTGTGGTACTGATTGCATATGACCTACGCACATTCCCTTGTAAACTTTAAATCATCTCTAGATTATTTATAATACCTAATACAATGTAAATGCTATATAAATAGCTGTTATATTATTTGTATTGTTTTTTGTTATTTTTAAAGCTTTTTAATATTTTGATCCACATTTGGTTGAATCCATGTATGCAAGGGCCAACTGTATTGACATCCTTGTATACTCCCCTCCCCTTGACTGTGGGCTGAGTTTGATGACTGGCTTTTAGCAAATAAAATGTAGCTGAGGCAATGGGATGTCACTCCTGAGATTAGGTATCAAAAAGGCTGTGGTTTCTGTCTTGAGCACGAGATACTCTCACCCCCTACTCTCTCATTCTCTCACTCTGAGGGAAGCCAGCTTCTGTGTTTAGAGCTGCCCTGTAAAGAGGTCCATGCGGCAAGGCTGAGGGAGGCTCTGGACAAGAGTCAGCAGATTGACTGCAACCTCGTGAAAGACTATAAACCAGAGGCACACAGTTAAACCATGCCCATCTTTCCGACCCACAGAAACTGTGACGTAATAAATGTTATTTTAAGCTGCTAAATTTCAGGGTAATTTGTTATGCAGCAATAGATAACTACTACAGGCTACTTCCTCCAACTCTGTCAGAGAAGATCTAAAATCCACCCTAACTATTTGTTCTGACTATTGCTGCTTTGGTCCATTCATTGGTTAAATAACATTTTCTTCTTGATTGTCTGATACTAATAATTACAATTATTACTCTTCTGTTTAAGTTGTTGAAACCTCTCAAATTCAAATACTGATTATATTATTAAATAAAAATGCATCAAGTCTGATCAGAAGACATTAGTGCTAAGTAAACATAACAGGACGAGTAAAATGGAGAAAGTAGAAGAGCCTATACCTGCTTGGAGGTACAATCTCCTCTTCCATGTGGTAATCGTGATTCATCCCCATCTTGTTGCTCAGCTCGGAAACTTCATTAACTGTCTCTGTGAGAACTGTGACAGAAAGAACTTATGATGGACAACAATGAACCCATGCAAGTCTGAATTTTTATTTTATTCAGAGTTCACTTAACCTAGTGGGCCCCAAATTTAGATTCATCAGACTTATCTTACACAGACTCACTCAACCATTCCAGTTATTTATGTTTTCTGAACTTTATGCCCCATAGTGCTAGAAACTCTCAGAGTAGTCCAGCATGGGGGAAGAGAGGACAAACAGCTAGTATATAAAAAATACAGTGAAACTGATTAAAAACTTTTTTCTTAAAAAGTAAAATCATAATTACAGTAGCAAAGAAACAATAATTTGTGATTTGCAAAACTAAATATTTATCTAAGGATATTAAGAGTCCACTTTCCTCTTCTGCCTCTAATGCTACACACAATGAAAGCTAAATTCTCCCTACAGATAACACTCAGATGTTACTGAATAGTGCCAAAGTCATTTGGTCTTCTAAAGCAGCAGTTTCCAGATTTTAGGATTTCGCAGATCAATAAAATTTTCAAAAAAATTTTAAGCAACTGACGATGTGCCAACTTTTTGTTTTGCCAAGTATGGACAGTGGAACAAGAAATAAAAAAATCCACTCTACCACTACCAAAATCATCATTTCATAAAAGGAAATACAGTTTAACCTCCAAAAAAGCAGAAAGGAAATATTTTCAAAATAAAGAGCAGTCCTTTAAATTGAATCAATACAGCTTTAAGAAAACTCATTACAGTATCTTTATATAATAATTTCATTTTGCTGAATATTACTAAGAATTTTGTCACAGACCAGCACCAGCATTTGGCAAGCACTGTTTAAGTTCTTAGTACAGGCCTGTAGTACAGCTGATAGCATTCTCACATAATAGGTATATATGGCAGTTATAATGATTACTTGGTATAAAAAATGAAGTTATACACAATAAATCATACTTTCTCTCTCTCTTTCAACGAAGCTTCATAATTTGTCCTCAAGCTGTGAAGGGGATATAGAAGAACTAAGACTGGCCATGAGTTCAAAATTATTGAAGCTGGGTGATGCATAAATGGGAGTTTATTATATTAGTTGCTCTACTTTTACAAATGTGTAAGTTTTCTATAACAAAAAGATTAAAACATGTAAAAAGGAAAAATAAAGTTACTGTAGAAAAGAGGTTACATAGGAGAATGCCCTTGTTCTCAGAAAAATACATAAGGAAGTATTTAGAGGTAAAGTCATGACTTTGTATCTTTCAGAAAGGGGGGAATATACATATATATGGAGAGAGAAAAAGCAATATAGCAGAACATTAACAATGTGGGCATTCACTATTTTTTTAACTTTTCAACAGATTTAGAATATTTCAAAATTTAAAAAGTTACAGGGATTGTAGACCTTTATAAAAAACCCACTGAGTCCTGCTTAGGCAAACAAAGGTGAACTGAACCTTAAGCAGATGGTTGAAGTTCCCTTTGTTTATACAGCCTCTCTGAAGTCTTTAGTTCTAGCCAAAATAGCAAAACAATCAAATATGTAAACAGACTCACCGTTAATTCACTAATGCTAAGTGAGAACTAAGAGAAAATCTCCAAAAAGAGATTGAGTTCCAGCAGCTCCCTGAAGGACTGAAGGAAATATACACTGAAACACTTTCCAGCTACAACAAATCCAAGCCCACAGCCTGCCTGGACAAGACTATTTTGTTGCTCGAAAGTAACATAGCACTGAGCAACTCCAAAACAGTTCTAAAATGCAAAAAAGAGGAAGACTCGAAGAGAAATGTAACTAAAATAGGTTTTAAAAATCCAGAGCCCAAGGACAAAGATATTTTCAAGTAATACAGTAATTTAATCAAATCGAACTAATACACAAAATTTCAAATTTATTTTTTTAAAAAAGGATTTGGTTATTCATTTTACCGAGAGTTGTTTCATCTATGGATTCACTTAAATAGCCGCCTGAAGAATTTAAATTGTATTTACAAAAAAATTGACTTTCACCCCACATCAGGTTTTTGTCTGTCCAACATGCGCGAAATACGCTGTCATTCTGTTAACCAGCAGCGACCCCATGTGGCCACAGGAGAAACAAATCTAATTCAACTTAGCAGCAGGGCCTGGAACTAATTTTTTGTATTTAAATCTTCAAGAATTTTAGGTCAGGTTGTTGCATGCACACAGCTCTTCAGAGTGATGACTGGTTGAGTTCTCTGGAGATAATTATAAGAGAAATGCAGCATGAGTCCCAGTGAGATTGGACCCACCACGATGTGTGGAAGAGACCTCGTGCCCCAGTATGAACACAAAAGAACATCTACTACAGTACAGAGCTAAAGAATATGAGCCCAGGGCAGTACTACTTCTTGAGTCAACAAAAAACGCAATTCCTGTCTGGGATCATTTGGGTTCTTTCAAAATCGACCCCAGATAGCTGCCATTTTCCACCTACAAATTCAAAATACAAGAATACAAAGATGCCTTTGAACTGACTCAACCTCGAATTTTGTCAGATTCAAGTAATCACACTTGGGTCACCTCTTTCTCCAGGACCAAGGCCTCTCTGAAGACCTCTGGTCAACAACGGGCCTAGGGCCTGCAAGTCAAGACCATGTGGGAGACAAGGAGAAGGGTAAATAAAAGACGGGGAAGGCCGAGAGAGAAAACTTGGCAGCTGAGGAGTGTGCGGGTCCCCGGAACAGCGCTGGAGCCCAGGTTCCTTCCAACGCGCCCCCCCTCCCTCGAGGGTGGCCGAGGAGACTGCTGGACCTACAGGCAGGGGCGTCCTCGGGGCCGCTCTTGTCTTCCTGAGTCGGTTCTGACGTCTCAGCCTTGCAGGGCCCGCTCTCTGCGTCGCCAGGGTCCTTCGGGGACACATTCTCCATGACGTCCGGCATTTTGCTGGTGGTATCTGGGCTGGGGAGAAATGGCGCGCTGTGCGCATCAGGGAAGGGGGCTCCGCAACCGCCAAGGAGGGCCCTAGGACCCGGCCTGGGAGCGAGGGGCGGGTGAGCAGCCGCTTCAGAGCCTCTCAGGGCGGGGGAAGACCGGGGGCAAGGGAGCCTGGAGGAGCAGGGATGCGGACCGGAAAGCCGCCGAGTGCTGGGCCGCAACGAGGAAGCTGAGGTCTGAGGCCCCTTCCTCCCCCACTAGGCGACCCCCATTCCCGCAACGCCCACCCGGCCCGCTCCGGCTTGGCTCTGGCGGCAGGGGCGCCGCAGCGCCCTGCCCCTCACCTCCTCCCCTGCCGCTGGCCACCCCCTCTGGATCGGCTCCGCGGCCCGGCGGCCTCGCGGCCGGGCTGTCCCACAGCCACTGGGCGGCGGCGTGGAGGCAAGAGGCCGACCGGGGCGCACCCCCGCCCGCGACGCCAGGGGCGCCCGGTGGGAGAGTCCGGGATTCGAAAACAAACCGCCGCGGTCTCCTGGGGCAACCGGGCAGGGCACGTGCTGGCCCCGCCGCGCCGGCTGGAGGCCGCAGCAGCCTGTGCCTCCGTCGACAACTCGAAGCTTCCCAGGCCTCCGGTTAGGTTACGCGATCGCCGGGCCCGTCCCTGCCGGTCACCTCCTCCCCCCGTCGAGAACGATCACCTGGACCTCCTTAGGGGAGGGAAGGAGCACTGTTTGTGGCTTTTCTTCAGCCGGTTCGTATAGCCCAAAAGACAACCACACCCAGGAGGGTCGTTTCTTCAGCGCATCCTGGGCGCGCTGTGACAGGTGGCGCGGGAGGGCGGCGCTCCCATTCTATGGACGCGGAAACTGAGACTCCTGGCGGGCTGGTGGGCGGAGGAGTCGTGAGGGCTGCCAGACAGGCCAGCTTCCACTCAGGGTCTTCCCACTGCCTCTGCCCAAGCTCTTCTGCGGCCCGAGGCTGGCCCTCCTGCTCCGTGGCTCCAGGCCTCCAGCCTTTCTTGCTTGGAGTCTGCTCTGCCACCCCGGGCATGATGCGAAGACCTGGAGTGCCCCCGACCGAGAATGTTCGAGTTCATCCCCACATTCTCCCATCCCTCGGATCACTCTGACTTGATTTCTTACCACGAAAACTTCCTTAAAAAATTAAAAAAAGATAAAAGTATTACCTGCAGAAACTCTGCCTTGACTAAGTTCTTATTAAGACCCTTGCTCTGTTAGTGTGGAGTGTGGATGTTTCTTGCACAACTCATGGGTTTTGAAGGGGAAAATTATGAAGAGACCTGAGAACATTTCTACTTTGAACAGTTCATTCTACTGTGAGGCCCAGGTGGATATGAGGGGAATGGCCTAGTAAAGTTACTGTTTACCGAGAGAGTATCTCAAACCGATTAAACCTTCTCCTTCCTCCTCCTCACCCTCTCCTGGTATTTCCCTTAGGGATGTCAACTGTGAAGCAGGCTGGCCTTCACCCCAAACCCACCAGAAGCGGGAGGAAGTTGCATGGTGACTTCAGTAAAGAATTCAATGAAATATGATGCTTCATATTACACAGAGAGATAGTTAGGCCTGGCTGTTGATTTCTGTTTTTTGAAAAATCCAGAATTCTGTTTGGCATTTTTATTTCTGGCAGAAATTTTCCAAAATAACGCCATTCGTTTCCCCCACAAAAAATGGCATTGTTGTAAAACTCTCCCTACTGATGCCTGAAATTTCTCTAGCAGTTCATTCATATACATTAAATAGTCTCCTTAAATGTCCTCTTAATATCCAAATTCTCTGGGAGGGTTGGGGGAAGAAATAGCAGCGCAGAAGCTCATGGTATGGTGGGGGTGGGGGGAACAGAAGCCAGAAGAGAAGGAAAAGGTGGAGGTAGCAGAGAAAGACAAAATTAGAGTTTTCCCAGGGTCAACCCAAGTACAGCATTTCATGATCTTTATCATTAATAGTTATCAGAACCAACCAAGCAAAAGTTAAAGGTTGAGGGGAATAGAAAGATGATGTGAGAGATACACCCTTCTTCTCTTTGGGGTCTTAGTTAATAACTGATTTTTGTTTAATGGTTTACAAAATACTTTTACATCACAAATCCTATGTGTTCTGCACACAATTCTATTCAATAGGTAAGGCAGGTATTATACTGGATCCCTTAATAGGTGAGCAAACTGGGGATCAGAGATATTTCAGGGAGTAACCAAAAGTCACAGAGTAAGCAAGATCTTGACTCTCTCTTTTTTTTTTTTGAGACAGAGTCTTGTTCTGTTGCCCGGGCTAGAGTGCCGTGGCATCAGGCTAGCTCACAGCAACCTCAAAGTCCTGGGCTAAAGCAATCCTCCTGCCTCAGCCTCCCGAGTAGCTGGGACTACAGGCATGTGCCACCATGCCCGGCTAATTTTTTCTATGTATTTTTAATTGTCCAACTAATTTCTATTTTTTTTAGTAGAAGACGGGTCTCACTCTTGCTCAGGCTGGTCTTGAACTCCTGACCTTGAGCGGTCCGCCCGCCTCGGCCTCCCAGAGTGCTAGGATTACAGGCGTGAGCCGCCACACCCGGCCATTGACTCTTGATCATATACTTTTTCTTAATTAACACCACTTTCCTTTCTCTGGCTGAGAAGCCATATACACACAAGAAAATATAACTAACATATAATAGCATAGTAAGTACCAGGGCTGGGGGTACAAACAAGAAGTGCTTTCACAAAGAAAAGGTGAGAGATCTTCCCCAGGTATTTGGACCAGTTCAAGCTCAGCCTTTAGCCAGAGTTTGTAAGATTCTGTAACTCATTTGGTCTTTGGAGACAGTCTCTTGTTAGGCCTGGCTCTCCCTCAACCTCAGAACCCTCTTTAAACTCTCCTAATGGATGAAATTAGATTTTCTATATACGTCCATTATTTAGCAGAAATGCCCCTCCTGGGTAACTTAACACCTTTACCCTATTAAAGTGCACATACCTCAAAAGACCCATAAGGCAAGTATTTCTCAAGCAACGTAAAAACAGAAATAAAGGCCCTGTTTCCTCTCACATTGAAGTATGCCCAAATCTGTCCGTCTGGGGTTCCTTTTTTATACTGAGATGTCATATGACTTTTGTCTTCTTTTCCTAATGTATCTGTGTTTGTTTTAATACTAAAGTCTATTTCCCCTCCTCAAATCTTTGAGTAGAATTCTTGTCCCAGAAGGAAGGGCTTCCTATACTTGTTGGCATACTTCTATATACCCCTGTGGGTACCTACACCCCGGTTCGAGAAGCAGTCTATGGTAATTTCAGGCCTACAGCTGGAATTCTCCTACTCTTCAACCACTTCCTCACATATGAGAGCTTTAACCCAAGCCCAACAGTATGACAATTCTCATTGGTTAAATACTATTCTGTGTACACTATCCCACAAAAGCAAATTATACAGAAAGTCAGTCCTGTTCACAAAGACATTCTGAAAGACGCGTGGATAAATTCAAAGATACGAGAGAAATATTCCTAGGTGGCTATAAGAGATACAGAATCACAGATTTTAAGAGTAATCCTGGATACAGATTTGCTAGCTAAAATAAAACAAAAAAGTGAAAAATACCTCATTTTACAAAGAAACATCGTAGGCTCAACTGAGGTTAAATGACTTGGCTAAGGTCACCACCAGTTTATGGAAAATTCAGGACTAGAATCCATATCGCAGTCTGTTTACTCCATAATGTATGGAGCTATGCAAGAGTAAAATCTAATACCGTAAATAAATATTTACATTTCCTAAAGAAAAATGTAAATGATAGGCCGTGGAATGGAAAAAGCGAGGGATGAAGTTAAATAGAGGCCAAGACTGCAAGTATAGTGGAGTATACTGGAAGATAAACAGTCAACTAAAGCGGTAGGGACACGTAAATACAGGGTGGGGCATTTAAATGGAACCATTTGGAGTCATGTAAACTGAGACTGACTTCATGATAGCCTCCCTTACAGTACAGAACCGCACGTCAAAACTATTTGCTTTAGTCTTTTGACAAATGTGTTTTCTTCACAGAACCCAAGAGGAGTATGAGAAGGGCTGAGGTAATCTGGGGGCATTCTGGCAGTGGCCCTTCGAAGCTCAGGGTGAAGTATGATGGATGGGGAAACCATTACAAATCTTTAAGGAAAGGAGCCTCAAAGCAGAAGACAAAGAAGAGTCTGGCAGCAGCACTTACTGCCTACTTCTCCAGCCACGTCTCACTCCTGAGCAACACTTAACACGCTCTGCTCCTTCCTACCTCAGGATCTTTGCACGTGCTGTTCCTTCCATGTAGCATGCTTCTCCCTGCTCTAACAACCTCCTTTCACCTCCCTGACTCCCTCTCATCCTTCAGATCTAGCTTACAAGGCCTAATTTCCTCAGAGAACCTTCCATGGCCTTTTGTTAGCTTCTCTCAACACCCTGTACGTTTTCGTCATAGCAGTCATAACATTTTGTAATCATGTGTTTGTTTGCATAATTAAGCTTTGTTGAAATGTCTAACTCTCCCATGAGACTGTAAGCTTTCTCAGAGTAGGGACTGTGCATTTTATTCACCACTGCGCCCGAAACATAGTAGGTGCCCAATCAGTAACTGTGGAGTGAATGAGCAGGGTAGACGGCAGTGTTGGAGGAGTGACAGGGAGTGGGCACTGCTCCCCCTACACACCCAAGCAGTCAGGCAAGTTGTGTCTCTCTGGACCTAGTCTCGATTACCAGGGTCTGTCTTTCTCTTTTTGTCTCATAGACATATAGACATGTTTTCTCTCTTTCTGTCTCTCCTCTGTGCTTAGCTTCCCGTGACAGCCTTTTGAACTAGCAAAGACAACATGTGAGAGAAAAGGAAGGATGTTTAGGGCCCTGTGACACTGGGGCTTCCCCCCAACCGGAAGGGGGCAGCAAGGGGCAGTGGCACCGTGGGAGTAACTCACAGAGGCAGGTTCCTGGATGGAGGAGTTTCTCTCTCTCTCTGCAGAGCAACCTGGGGTCAGCAGCAGCCTAAAGCCTTGAAAA